CTGCTAGTTTTGGTGTTGTCTTGCTGCTAGTACTACCTGAATTTTGTCTACTTAATACATCTAATGAAGCAATCTGAATTTTTGACTCTGGGATAAGGAGGTAGCAATATTTTCCTTTTTTAGCAACTTAGCTGTCTTGTGCAAAAAATACGCGTTTTTGGTGCTGGCAATAATTGCCTTATTAGGCAAACAGGTGATCTTATCACAAGTCATGATATCTTTGGCATATTAAGTGGTAATTATTGCAGATATTGCAGCGAAGGTGTTATATTTGCAGCATAGGTCTTATGTCTCAGAATTATTAGCTTTATAGCAGTTTTATTGTATTGTTTATTGCAGCATAGGGCTTTTAAGCTCATCTCTTCATCTTAGAATGCGCGGCTCAGCGGGCCGTTCATTCTAATATGAAGAGATATGTGGAATTGGTAGGTGGGCTTCGCCGCGCGACAAGGAGGAAGGTTCGCGGACCGCCGAAAAATCAATCATATGCAATCAATTGTCCTTGACGATAGCAGCAACTCGTTTCGATCGAGTAACCTCGGGGTCGCGAATTGCACATATCATGAATATGGACCCCGCGCGCTTCCATCTGCGCCATGCTGCTAAGAGGTAGGATGTGGACCCACGGATTGAGGGTCCAGGTGCCGGACGGCGCCGGGCCCGGCATTGATGGCGAGTCATTATGTTTTTCGGCCACAAAGCGTACAGGCAGTTATTTTTGAGTAGCTTCTCCAGCCAGAAGAGCCCTTGAACACCATCGATATCCCTCGCAAGTTCCGGTGCATTAAATTCAGCGCCTATTCCGTTGCTGAGCTCTCGTGATCGGCCAGGCCACATTTTGGGGAGGAGCGCCGCCGCCGCGTCCGCTGGGACGCTTCTCCAATTCCGAGTCTACCAGCGGCAGCGCCTGTCGCCGAACATGTTCAGCATCGGCCGAACGCCACTGTCTGGCTTGACGAAAAACATGCCACTGTACCAGACACCTGACAGGAAGAGCGGCTGCAAGTTCATGTTCTCGGCACAGGGGCCAAAAGATTGAAATCCAGAAAAAAACTCATCGGTTGGGTCCATGAATAGCAGCGGCTCGTTTAGATCGAGTGGTCTTGGGTATTCCTTGGGATTGGTAGCGCAGGAAAGGCCCGGGCGAGGCCGCTGGCCGTTCATACATGGGCCGCGGCCCGCACTTCAATCTGCATGATGCTGCCGCATGATAGCCAACACTGTCCGCCTGTTATGACGACGTGGATAAAGACAGTGTCAATGGGGTGGACTTGCAAGCTCGCGGCACCAAAAGAGGACAGACACAGACGACTATAGCAGCAACTCGTTTCGATCGAGTGACCTCGAGGTACCACCAGATAGAGCCTTCTTCTTCGCAATTGCATATGGGCCCCGCGCGCTTCCATCTGCGCCATGCTGAGATGCAGTGTGATTCACGTGGGTTCACAGGCATCGATGGATGGCCCGCCCGGCGACGGGCCGATGGTATTATTATTATTATTATTATTATTATTAAGGGCATAAGGTCCCAAATCTGAGTACCGCCCAACTCAAGAGGCAAGCAGGGGTGAGCTGTACCCTCCAGGGAGTACGTTGACCCCCTACCCAAGGGGGGTTCAAGTCTCGAATCATGGATATAGGGTCGGAAAGTTTTTTTCCGACCCTTGGGGGACCCCCTCCCCCCCTCCTGCCATATCAGGTAATATGTTCCCACGATTTGCGTCATGTGACGCCTGATGCAATCAAACAATGGGATAAAAAAAATTCAATCTTTGTGAAACTTTTTTTTGCAAAAGTTTTATATATGTGTATGTGTATATGTGTATGTATATATGTCAGTGATGTTCATAAGGCTTAAGGCCTTAAGTCATAAGCCCTGATGCAATCAAACAATGGGATAAAAAAAAATTCAATCTTTGTGAAACTTTTTTTTGCAAAAGTTTTATATATGTGTATGTGTATATGTGTATGTATATATGTCAGTGATGTTCATAAGGCTTAAGGCCTTAAGTCATAAGCCCTTATATAAGGGCTTACATTAAGGCTTAATTGGTGCACCTCAGAAGCCTTAAGGGCTTAATGTCACATGTCACATCACACAACCTATTTTTAGACAACTAAAATGCCTTATCTTACTCATAAAGCTTAATATACAAGGGGCAAAGCAGTTTATTCCAGAGTTTTTTCACAAAATGTTAATGCATAACTTAATATATAGGCCAGCTTAGTGGCCTCAACATATACTACAACTGATATACAGAAGGGTAGAGCTGCGATCAGTGATTCCAGCTGATATATGGGTAGGGGAGAGCATGATATCAGCCTAATTGTAGTGAATTATTATCTGTAGCTGCACAGAGGACTGTATGAAAAATTTCCTTTTTAGGCAATTAAGTCCTTAAGCCCTATGGCTTATTTAAGGGCTTAAGGCTTACTTAAGGCTTAATCGATTTTGGAGCCCCAAATTAAGGCCTTACGAACATCACTGAATATATGTACCTGGAACCTTCAACCACACATGGCAGGCCATATCACCTCTTTAACATGTTCACCTCTCATCAATTACCTGACGATGGACCTATGACAGAGTGGGCTATCCAAGCTCATGGGCCTGAAAGTATATAGATATAAGTATGAGAGTTGTGATAGAAATTAGAGTGTATATACTATATTTCCAGTATCTTTGCACCCATATAAGGCCCAAATCTTTTATATACAAAAAGTTCTTTTACCCCCCAGGGGACCCCCCCCAGGGGACCCCCCCCTCCCCCCTACCCCATGTGCCTGATAAGGATCTTGAACCCCCCTTGCCCCTACCCGCTCTCAGGAGCTTTACATCCACAAGAACAAAGCTACACCCGCGCTGTCGCATCCACACCCACCAGACATCCTGCAGAAAGGAGCAGAAGTGCGCCGCGGCCGGCCCCAGCAGGGCAGGATCGCATGATTGATCACTCGGAGCGAGTCACATTGAGCCTGATCATAAGATCACGTCGACGTACATAAGATCACGTCGACGTCTTTCTCCCACCCACACTGTAAAATGGTATCTTTCAGTGTAACTGAAAATGATGCTTTTTATTGTGGTTTCAGATAGTCCTGAAATTGGAACTGAAAAAAATATTATCAGTTTGTCCAAAATTTGCACTGAAAGCAGTGATTTCAGCAACAGTTTTACTGGCTACCTAAAAGACAGCTTTGAGTATATAGTGAAAGTAATGCTGAATGCACTATTTTCAGCTCAATTTTTGTCTCTTCTGAAATTAGTCCTTTTGGTGATGCTGATTCTCATGCTGAACTCACTGATTTCAGTGTAAATTTCCCTTCAAGCTGAAAACAAGGTTTCAAGTATGCAACTGAACATTGGACTGAAGTCCATGCATCAGAACATCAAGTCCCCCATAGGGTTCTGATATTGGAAATTATTGGTACAAGTTTCAGTTGCATCCTAAAATGCTTGTTTTCAGCTGAAACTATAATTTGTGCTAAAATCATTTATTTTGGCACGGAAATCAGTGTCCCCAGTAGGACAAATTTCAGATGAGATATAAACTGAGCTGAAAGGAGTGCTTTTAGCATCACTTCAAGCATATACTGAAGACTGTGTTTTCAGCAGCTGCTAAAACTGTTGCTGAAAGCACTATTTTTGGTACAGATGTCAGATAAACTAATAGTATTGTTTTCGGTGCCAATTCCAGTACTGCCTGAAAGTACAACAAAAAGCATCATTTTCAGCTATACTGAAAGATACAGTTTTACAGTGTGACCAGCTCTGCCGCTCGCACCTCCAGAGACACGACGGCATATGCACCTGTCGTTCGCCATCCTGCGCGACCAGCGGTTAACATTGGCGTAGTCGGCGCCATCCTCGCGGCAGAGTGACACGTGGCGGGTCGCACTTCAAGATTATCACAGACGCGCAATCGCCGCAGCGCTGGGGCCGGAGCGAAAAGGCGTCCCTCGGCGGGAGAAGACGCCACTGGGCCGAGGAGCTCGAGCCCTTTTGAAAGGCACGTGTTGCTGGCAGGGCCGAGCGACGAGCGCGGGCCTGGGGGCTCGGGGGCGGGTATGAATCAAGAGTGCCAGTGGCGGGTGTCCGAGTCCGTGCGAACGAACGAAGGAGGAAGGCGGTATGTCTCCGAGTACTCTCCCGGCCCGCCGTCCCCGACCTCAATCCGCCTTCGCAGCGAGAACACCGTCTGGTAAGGACACAAATGCGTAGGAACGTCTGGGTGTCCGAGACTAAGTTCCAGAACCCAGAGGAATTACGGAATCACGACTGCAAGGGGGGTTCAAGATCCTTATCAGGCACATGGGGTAGGGGGGAGGGGGGGGGTCCCAGGGGGGTAAAAAAAACTTTTTGTATATGAAAGATTTGGGCCTTATATAGGTGTAAAGACACTGAAAATATAGTATATACACTCCAATTTCTATGGTTCAGAACCCTCATACTTATATCTATGTACTTTCAGGCCCATGAGCTTGGATAGCCTACTCTGTTATAGGTCCATGGACAGGTGATTGATAAGAGGTGAACATGTTGAAGAGTTGATATGGCCTGCCATGTGTGTTTGAAGGTTCCAGGTACATACATACATACACATATACACATACACATATATAAAAAATTTGCAAAAAAACAGTTTCACAAAGATTGAATTTTTTATCCCACTTTTTGATCGCATCAGTGGTCACATGATGCGAATCGTCGGAACATATTACCCGATATGGCAGGAGGGGGGGAGGGGGGGGTCCCCCAGGGGTCGGAAAAAAACTTTCCGACCCTATCTATATCCATGATTCGAGACTTGAACCCCCCTTGCACGACTGACTCTGATTCTGTGAGCCTATTGCAGCACTGCGCGTTCATCTCCGCCACAGGATTTCCCACCAACAGCTTCTCTGTAGACGTGCCTCGCGTCTATTTTCGAGGGTACATCTGGCGCTGGTGTGCACGGTACCTCCTTCTCTTCCCTCCCTCACAATCTTAAGGCGATACGATGGTCCGTGGCGGTATTCGTGGACGGGGACGGGGACGAGGCACTGGCAGAGGCAGCGTCCGATGGCAGCCATCGCAAAGCGTTGAACAATCAACCAATGCAGAAAGCACTCCACCCGTCGCCCTTCCCGCCGACCGCGATATCATGGCCGGTCTCCGCCCGACGCCGGTCGGAACGCTCCCCGTCCCCCGAGCCCACGCAGGAAACGCCGCGGTCGTTATCGCGGATGTCAAGCAGCTGGGCTCGTGCAACTGGACGGGGGCCGACACGCCGACAATCGTCGTCCCAGGTGCCAACTCTGTTGACTCCCACTACTCTCTTCCCCACTAATGCTGGGTTATAGGGACTCCGCGGGCTTGGGCCGAGCCAGCACTGCCTCTCCAGGTCGAGCCCGACACGGGCGTCATCTGGGACCAGGACGCCCTCTCCGCGCCGGCCGGGAAGACGCTTGTTGCGCTCATCGCGACAGTCGATAAGACGCATGCTATCCAGTGCCGCACTGCGCACGCACCCGAGATGCCGTTTGACTGGGCGGGCGAGCAAATCGACTTCGTCACCGACCGCACGAACTTGCGCAAGCTGCTCCGGTGGATCAACGTCAACGTCCAGCCGCCAGATGACCGCGACCCGGGAGACGACAGGCAAAGGAAGGACTGGCGGATCAACATGCAGCTTGCCCCCGGCGGACGCACGGTGCTCTTCGAGCGCTGGGAGAAGCGTGATTACACGGCGATGAGCGGGTTTACGTTTGGCTTCAACTTCGAGACGGCGTCGACGACCGCGCCGCGTGGCGCACCGCAGAGCTCCTGGCATCATCGGATCGTCAGCTACGTGAGGGCGGTTCATTTCCACGAAAGTAGTATTCCTTACCCATTAGTACAGAATCTCAACGGGCTGAAAATCGTCGTGCGGTTCGAAGTCGATGCCTACATCCCTGCACCCATCCACCGAAGCTCGGCCGGCGCGCGCTCCAGGGCGGATGAGACCAGCTCGCAATTGGAGGATCTGGCCGCCCAGCTGGCCACCACCACTATCGCCCAGTCGGCGCCCGGGCCGGCAGCAACCGATGTAGAGCATGATTTCGGTGTCTCGCCCACGTCGACGCGCGCCACGGCGTCGCCCGAGCCGTTCGTGCAGGACCACGGGATCACCGTCATCGAGGGCGGCACACACATCCCGCAGGCCGCGCTCGTCGAGCTCACCACCCGCTCGGCCTTCCGCGCACAGGAGATCAACTGGGCGGAGGACTTCCCCCAAATCTTTCTCACGCAGACGCCGCACCATTTCCTCGGCGTGCACCACCGCGGGCAATTTGGCAGGGTTATCAAGCGCCGGCTCGGCGCGGGGGAGCTGGCGCAGGTGGAGCAGGACCTGCAGCCGAGTCTGCTGATGCTCGTCGGCGCGTTGAAAGAGATCGCGGCGCTGGTGCGGGCCGGCGGCGCCCGGGGCCGGCTGACGCTCGTGTGTCGCGCAGGGCGGGTGCAGGTGTATGAGCGGGAGAGCATGGAGAGCGTGCTTCCGGACGAGATGCTGGAGAGGTTTGAGGGGTGAATGCTGGTCTTGTAGGTTGTGTTGATCGGATTCGTATAGCTTGAAAGAAGAGAGAATCCCGTTATGTTTCCTAGAAACTGTTGGACAGCTGCGTTCGAATGTCCGAGTCAAACCGTGCGATGTTCAAGTCGCCGGGCCGGAACCGGTTGCCTTCGGCGCCGGACTCGGACCCGGGCCGAAGCCGGTTGCTGAGGACCGGACTTGCACACTGCCAGAGATATTGATCAGCTTATCCCAGATAGCTGGAGAACTTGGAGCAGACTGAGCACGAACAACTCAGAACTGCTCAATGATGCCATCGGCCCGTTGCCGGCGGGCCATCCATCGATGCCTGTGAACCCATGTGAATCGTGATGCATCTCAGCAGCATGGCGCAGATGGAAGCGCGTGGGGCCCATATGACAACATAAAACACTGGGAAAACGATCTCCGGCGGTGGGCACCCCGAGGTCACTCGATCGAAATGAGTTGCTGCTACTAAAGTCTGGTGTATACCACTGTTCTCTTTTGGCTGAGCTCGCAAGTCCACTCCAAGCCTGCGTTGTCGATGTGTTTACCCGCGTCGTCACGGGAAGTGGCACGTGAGGGGATGGGGTAAAACCCCGCTACACCCGCTACACTGCCGCTGCAGCGTGATGACACCCCCCGCTGCATGTCACACCGCCACTGCTACGACTGGCAACTTGAAGGACTCCGCTACACCATTTACAAGTTAAGCTCCACAAGTACTCGACACTTATTTCCCCGCTGCGCTGACGACACCTGCTTCCCTCAAGCTTTTGTGAACAATGTCCGTTACACTTTTGCTAAAAAAAAGGAAATTCATTATAATATGCTATTAACTTGGACCTAACTCATGCTGAAAGCTTAGTCAGTTGCAAATGATCTTTACCCTAATGATTCATGTCATTTTAGCCCTATTTAACACTGAATGAAAGGATAATTTTTGGTACACTTTTTTTTAAACGAAATTCATGAGAGCATTTAGTTATCCGAGTCGTGGACTCAGATACCTGGGCGTAATAGAAATAGATTTGGAGATATTCAATATATTAGCTAGAGTGTCACAAACAAAGCCGGATCAGATGATGGGCCAACTTAATGAATGATCAAATGATCTAACTTCGTAGTGGTTGATGATGAGATCAAGTTGTATTGATAGGTATGATACAACCGGATGACTATTTCCCAAGAGGTAGGAGGGAAAAGAGAATAAAAGCGCTGGGGGCAGAAGGCCACCAGTGTCCTACTTATATACTAATTCCAGGCTGACTAATACTGACTCACTCTGACTCATACCGACTCACCCTGACTCACGTCATGACTCACTCTGACTCGGATTGATATGACTCAGTCTGAGTCATTGATGGATTGATGGATGATATCATCTAACCCAATATGGTAAGGCTGTGCTAGCCTTCGTTTGGGGTTGGTTGGTGTGATGTGGTAGAGGTTGATGATATCATCAGAAATTGATGATGGGATCAAATGTGCCACTGTCATCAGTGATCAGCCTAGAAAGTGTAACATTACCCCCCTCTTATGATCAATGTCCTCATTGAACCAAGAGTGGTAGCAAGCCACAATCCTATATAAATCAGAAAAGGAAACCAGAAAACAGTCATATGAGAGCGTCTTTGACCCAATTCCTGGTGATCAAACTGCTCTTCTTCTGTATGTGTGGTAAGTCTTGCAGACATAAGCAGACTATGGTTGCCTATGGTGTCTTGTGCCAGTGGTCGGGTGCTGGTCGGAGTTCTGTTCCTCAAGGAATTCTGTGATATACTCCTCAGCATTGGTAAGATTTCGCTGAGGCTCCCAGGTATTCTCACTATGCGGATAGCCTTTCCATTTCACAAGATATTGCCAACCTCTGCCTCTCTTCCGTGACTTGAGGATTTTCTCCACCTCATATTCTGGTTGATCCTGCACAATCATAGGGGCAGGGCGTTCTTCTCGACGGTGAGGTGGTGGTTCATGATATGGGGAGAGCAGCTCTTCATTGTACACAGGATATCGATAGTCAAGTCCTGGTACCTTTAACTGGTATGATGCTGCTCCTACCTTGTCCAAAATCTCATAAGGACCAAGTCGCTTGTCAGACATCTTTGCTGAAGGCCTTCATTGATCCAACTGCTCACTAGCTTCCAGCCATACCTTCTGACCAATCTTAAAATCTGGCGCGGGCTGCCGTTTTCTTATCATAATACTTCTTCATTCGCTCTTTAGCCTTTCTCATAGCTGAGCTAGCATCCTCTCTAACGGCCTTCATCTTTTCAGCAAATTCCTGGGCACTGTCGTTCCGAGACTCCACATGAGTCTCCATTCCTTTCCAAGGGTGGTATCCATGATCAAGATAGAATGGTGAGAACTTGGTAGAGGCATTGACCTTGTCATTGTAGGTAAACTCAGCAAGTGCAAGCCAGTCAGACCAATCAGACTGATGAAAGTTTACATAGATTCGGAGATAATGCTCAATCTCCTGGTTCATACGTTCCGTTTGTCCATCAGTTTGTGGTCTGAAGGCAGTGCTTGGGTTCATCTGAGTACCAAGTAGTTTGTTCAACTCGGTCATAAAACCAGACAAATACCGAGTATCTCGGTCGGAGATAATTTTCCGTGGTATGCCATGATATCGGATTACTCGGTCTCTTGTCAGTTTAGCTACACCTTCGCTATTTAGCCGAGTTGTTGTTGGCTCAACATGGATCCGCTTTGTGAAGACATCGACCCATACCTGAATAGCATTATAGCCATTGCTATCTGGGAGTGGTCCAATCATATCCATGGAAATTGTCTGCCATGGACTCTCTGGTATACTATGAGGATTCAATAGACCATGTGTACGTCGTCGTGGGCGGGTTCTCTGACAGGTTTCACAGGTTCGAATATATGCCTTGACATTATTGCCTAGTCTTGGCCACCAGAAGTTTCGTTCAATTAACTCCTGAGTTCGATACTCTCCAGGATGACCTACTATTGGACCATCATGATGCTGCTCGATAATTTCTTCTCTCAAATTATCATCACGGGGGACATATACCTTGCCATAATAGAGAATAAGTCCATCCTCATAATTCCAGCCTGGTAATGACTTCTCTAGTGCAATCTTTATAGAGGAGTCAATTTGTTTCCCTGCTCTGATCCTTTTCAGTAGTTCTATATCAAGACCTTCAAGCTGCAACTCTGTTGATCGGAAGAGCTCTGGCTTTAAAAGGACAATATCAGTATTATCATCCTTTCCCTGATTATGATCAGCTCTTCGTGATAGGAGGTCAGCCTTCCGGTTCAGGGCACCTGGACGATGATGGAGAGTAAAGTCATATTCAGAAAGCTTAGTTACCCAACGTGCTTGTCGACGATTAAGTTTCTGAGGTTTCTTAAAATATTCGAGGTTTTGATGATCAGTGAAGATCTCGAATGTTTCGCTTGCTCCCATCAATATTGGTCGGTAATCATCCAGTGCAGACATAATAGCCAGCATCTCCTTATCATATATCTCATAGTTGCGTTCAGTCTCATTGAGACTATGAGACATAAAGCCAACTGGTCTCCACACTCCATCCTGCTGCTGACTCAGCACAGCTCCAACTGCACCTTCAGAGGCATCCGCCTCAAGTCGAAATTTGCCACTGTCTGTTGGTAGAGCAAGAACAGCATCTTCTGCAATTCGTGACTTAAGTGCATTGAAAGCTTGGCATTGTTCATCACCCCAGCTCCATCCTATCTTTCCAGTAAGCTTAGTGAGTGGTCGGGCAATCTCACTGTATCCTCTGATAAAACGCCGATAGAAATTGGTAAAACCTAGAAATGCCTGAACTTGTTTAACTGAATGGGGTTCTGGCCAATTAAGGACTCCTTGAATCTTGACTGGATCCATCTTCACTGAGTTGTGGGAGATAATGACACCTAGATATTCAATTTCCTTCTGATCAAACTGACATTTCTCCGGCTTGAGAAACAGTTTATATTGAGCCAGAATTGTCAGAACACGGTTGACAATCTGTTGATGCTGTTCCAAAGTTTCGGTGAAAATGAGGATGTCATCCAAATATACAACAACATGACCATCATTGATGAGATCTCGTAGAATATCATTCATCATAGTTTGAAATGTCGCAGGGGAGTTTGTGAGTCCAAAGAACATAACAAGTGGTTCGAATAGGCCCCGATTTGTCCGGAATGCAGCCTTCCACTCGTCACCTTCTTGAATTCGAACATTGTTATATCCCCAGCGAATATCAAGCTTGGTGAAGTAATGTGCACCTTGAAGCTTGTTCACAAGCTCGGAAATCAAAGGTAATGGATATTGGTTCTTGATAGTCATTTCATTCAGTTTCCGATAATCTTGGACCGGACGCAAAGTTCCATCCTTTTTCTTAACAAAGAAGAATGAGGATGCCATAGGGGACTTGGATCCACAGATACGTCCAGACGACAAGTTCTCCTCCAGGAATTCATCTAACTTCTGCTGCTCCAGAGGTGAGAGAGGATAGACCTTGCAATCAACAGCCTTTGCTCCAGGCTTCAGTTCGATTGCATGATCCCATGGCCTTCGGTCAGGTAGTGTATCGAAAGACTCCTTAGAGAATACAGTTCTGTGGTGTGCATACTGTTCTGGTATCTCTGTTGACACTGGAGTCTTGTCTTTACTGTTAGGGGAACCTCCCTTTCGGCCCCTCGGAGACGCCTCCGATTCCCGGTCCGACTCCGGTTCCGTCTCCGGTCCGGCCCTCCATCTCGCCCGCACAATCACCGATCCGTCAACGCCCTCCCGACGGTCGCCCTGGGACCTCGCCTGCGACGCCGCCCAAGCCTTCTGTGCCCGACAGCGGCAGCTACGGACAAGCAGTATATAGTCAGCTACCTAGCAGGCGGACCCTTAGAGTTTCTTCTCTTTGGATCCTCCCCTGCTAGGTCAGCTTCATTTGTATTCGCTTACCAATGTTCACGCTTTGGATCCTCCCCTGCTAGGACCTTGATCTCAGGCCTCCGGGGTT